ACTCCTGGTTGGCTATTAGTACTAGTATTCTTTGTTCAGTCTCTTCAGGCTCTCAATGAAGATTGTCGACCACTCCTGACCCACTAACTTCACTCATTAGCGCTAGTATTCTTTGTTCAGCCACTTCTGGCTGGCAGTGTGTATTCTTTGACAAGTCTCTCCAGGCTTTACAAGTATTCTTAAACCACTTCTAGTTCCCCAAGTATTCTCGACCACTCCTGGCTCGTTGGCTTCACTTACTCTCACAGAGAGTATACAAATATTTTCTACACTCACTAAGGTACATATTCCTAAGTTACACTTAGAACACTTTAGTCTACAGAGATAAATACACTATGGTACATTTGACTCTATAAGCTCTGTCTCTAGTTTCGTTGCTTCCTGGGCTTGATATCATTCTTTTTCAATTCCAACCTTTACAGGTTTAAAGTTATGACATATATATAGTCTTGTAAAATTTTCTCATTACAAGTGTCCGTTGAAACAGATGTAGTCGTTCATGACTAGTTCGATATTCTCGTTTAATGCATAAGATCTTGCATTAAATGTTGCTTCCTGTTTATAGACATTACGTGAAGTCTTCTACGTTTGTTAGCTACTGTGCCTGACTTTAACTAAGACCTAGGAACTTTTTGTCCTTTTCATCGTAGCTGTTGATCGTTGTCCTTATCTGAAAAAGTGATGTACTTTTTCTGACACATGCATGCTTTCACTTTTTCGCTTGCTTTTCTTCTCTTTCTTTTCTTCTTTCCTTTGCGCGATCATATTGAGAGCTTTTGTATGGTCGTAGACGATGCCTGAGTTGTCCCTTGAGACTTGATTCTTCAAATACTTGCATGGAAATTTTCGTCTGCATTTGGTGGTCCATTTGCGTCTCAAGATTTGATTTTCGTATGAGCATTAGTCATTAATGCTTTGACTTTCTTTGGTCTAGTCAACATTGTAGATGGACAGACTTTGTTTCCGTCTGGAATGTTTTTTAGTCTGTGTTATCCTTTGTCTGATATTTGATTTACTTTCTTTAGATCTTTGACCAATCTTCGCCTAAGTTCTTATGTTGCGCTCTAGGTTGTCCTTGACACACCTTCGTCTAATATTTGATTCATTATCGTCTGGTGCACATTTCATATTCCACCTATCATTTGATTTTTTTTTTGTATGATCTTCGTGCTTTGCTTATTTTTCTTCTTTCTTTTCATAATATTGAAGACTTCGTGTGCTCTTCTTATGAGTGTAGCCGATATATGATATCTCATGTTGTGAATAGTGGACTTCAGACGCTTTTCAATATTCTTCGTCTGCATCTAGAATTTGAGTCTCCGTCTAAGAGATAGACTTTGACTTTTCCTTTCGTTTGATCAGTCGTGAAGATGGAAGACTTTAATTCTGTTTGGAGCGTTTCTTCATCTTGTATTTTCCATCGTCTGATACTTGGTTGACCTATGATTGGTAGTATGATTTGTCTTGTATGTGTTGACTTTTTGTCTGACTTGGAATATATCTTCTGAAGCTTGATCATTCTCCTTCTTGTGCTAGACCATTAGGCTTCATCTGATGTTTGTACTTTCGTCTGATTTGGATCATGCTTAGTCTTGATGTTTGATCAATTTTCTTCTTGTGCTAGGCTTGGCTTCATTTGATTTTTCCATCTGATGCTTGAAGCTTTCGTCTACGTCTATGGCCTGTATTGGATTTCATCCGGTGCTTAACCACTTTTGTCTTGTTCTTGATTTATCCTTGTTTGATACTTATTTTGGCCTTTCTGTCTGATGCCTTCTTTTGTTTTGGTTCCAGTGTATGAAGTGGCTCATGTTCTATTCTTCAACTTACCTGTACTTATGTTTTTCTGAAACACTAACACACTTGTTAGAAATAATAACATGTATTATATTAGTCTCACTCAAAACCTTGCTGGAAATTGTTTCGTCTGACTTAACAATATAACATTCACATTCAACACAACATCTCATTTTATGCCAACATACTCACATCATAATTAATTGAACAACTAGGCCATAACATACAATTCGCTACATCATGCTATCAATTCAATACTAAAACGGTAGATACAGTATGTATACATTTGTGCCAAGACATCATACCACAGTCCATAACTCAAATCCACATCACGTACACAATATAGATAAGTCCACATAAAACAATGGTTCGCATACCCCTCAAATAATTCACCATGAATCCACATCTCATCATTATACATATATGAACTAACTCTACAACATAGTATCATACTACTTTAAACAACTTTTCAATTCACATGATAACACCTTAGAACATCAAACAGCACATGTCTCCCTTTGACAACTGTCAAAGAAAACAACACACAGAAAGCTATACTCATCCAAAAAATCTCAAACCTATCTCAAAAGAAACATAATAGGGTAATATACAACTCTTGTGAAGACATTAAATTCTTAAAAAAAATCATCTACTTAGCTAAAAATGTCAAAAACCGCAACAGATATAATACACACTAACAGCTTGACTCCTGTTCACTAAAACAGCCATATCTAGAGTTCTAGACATCCTTTTTGAGTGATTCTAAAGTCATTAAAACTCTAACACCAAAAGCTAAAACTTTTTGAAGAAAAAAAGCCTAAAAATGTTGTTAAGGTCACCTCGTACGGCTGAAAACATGAAACTTAATCTTTCACACACTAGAATGGAGACTACACTTATAACTCGCATAACTCAATCAATTCTTAACATTTTTACACGATTCTAGAGTCTAAATTATAGTCCCAAGTGTCTAATTTATAACCCAAAAAATGAAAATTAATTTGGTTAATCACACAGAAAGATACTACAAAAATACTAAGGTACATCATTAAATAAAATCTCCCAATTACTCATCAATTCATATAATTAAGGGTGCTCATCAATTTACAAGAACCATAACTTACATAACACATCCCAATGAATCCAATTATCATCTAGATCATCAATTTTATCAAATAATATAATAACCACATTTATAAATCAATATAAAATCATATTGAATCATCAATTTTATAGAATCTTAACTCAAATAGTAAAACTCCCAATTTTTCCAAAACCTAACTCACATGCACTTTTCTACAATTTTGTTCTCTCTCCCAGATTATCATTTTTACAAATTGTTTGCATATTCCTAATCCTCAATACATGAAAAATTTAATGGGATCATCAATTCCTCAAACAGAAATAATTATAAAATTACTCATAATTCTACGGGATTCTTCCTTTACCAAATTCCGTCATCTAACTTAACATACAAATAATCTCTTTTCCCCTGTACCTAATTGCGTTTAACAAAATAATCTTGAAGCAATTTGAAATTGTTCCTTAGCACCTCCTGAGCACTCTTCCTCAGAGCTCTCTATTTCTCCTCTCTTTCTTTCCTAACTCTTCAGACTGCAAATGAGGCAGATAGGGTTAACTTTGTCTAACCCCTTTCTTAAAATAATTCATTGGGCTAGGTCAACCCAACCCATCTTCCTTCCTTTTCGACTCACTTCTCTTTTCCCCAAAATAATTAAATAAAATAAATACATATATAATATAAAATAGTTTTCCTCTATAATAATAATAATAATATAATTTCAATACTAAAATATCATACAAAATCAACCTTTTAAATTTTATAATAAAATTATAATTTATCAACTCACAAATTATCCCTTAAAGCATATAAATAATTATTTAAAATGCTAATAAAAATACTTATTTAATTTGTATAAAGTAATTATCCAAAACAATAATTATTTAAAATGTATAAAATAATATTCTTCTATAATTATAAAAATAATTCTGACCAAATATCATATAATAATAATAATAACCTTTTTGAAAAATGGGATGTTACAAATAATACAATAAACAAGTTCCCAATTCAATTTAGAACCTAATTGGATCATCAATTTCGGCTTGGGAAAAGAAATAGAAAAATCTTAGGAGTTTAGGGATTTCTGCCACTACTCGTTCTCTCTTATAATCCCACACATGAATTACTCATTTACCTTCCCTGTACCTTCTTGTGACGATAAGAGCAATTTGATGCATTCTGAGACAATCTGAGCACTTCTCCTTAGAGCTCCTTCCTTCTCTCCCTTCTCGTTCTCAGTCCTTCTAGAACAAAAAATGAGGTAGATCCCAGATAAGGTGAGTTCAAAATGAGTTCAAAAAATTTCGTGACCAAGCTGGAATTCAGCATCAATTAATTGTTCCTTACACTCCTCAACAGAATGGAGTGAGTGAAATGAAGAATAGAACATTTATAGAAACGGCAAGGTGTTTGCTCTTTGAAAAGGGCTTTCCTAAAATCTTTTTGGGCTGAGGCTGTTAATACCTCAATATACTTACTAAATTTGTTGCCCACTAAAGCCTTGAAAGGTAAAATACCTTTTGAGGCATGGCATGGAAGAAAGCCTTCAATGGAGCATCTTAAAGTTTTTGGTTGTGTGTTGTGCTCTTGTTCTAGAATGAAAAGAGATAAATTGGATCAAAAATCTAAAGTTGGTGTTTTCTTGGGGTACAACAATAACTCTAAAGGTTATAGAATTTATAATCCAACATCTAAGAAGATCCTTGTCAGTAGAAATGTCAAGTTTGATGAGCTATCTAGATGGAATTGGGAGAAACCCAAAGCAGAAGCCTCAAGCAAAAGGCAACTTGAAGTTGACAATATACAAGAACAAAATTTAGAAAGTGAAGAAGAAAATTTGGATGATGATGCTGATTCTCCCGTTAGAGGCACAAGTGATCTAGCTGAAATTTACGAAAGGTGTAATGTTGTTGCACTTGAACCAAAAGGATATACTGAAGCTGATGAACTTGAAGGTTGGAGAGTTTCTATGCAGGAGGAGATGAATATGATCAAGAAAAATAATACTTGACAGCTTGTAGACAAGCCAACTAATCAAAAGGTAATTGGTCTTAAGTGGGTTTATAGAACCAAACTTAATTATGATGGTTCTGTAAACAAACTTAAGGCTAGATTAGTTGTTAAAGGCTATCATCAATAGTATGGAGTTGATTTTTTAGATACATTTGCTCGTGTGGCAAGACATGATACAATCAGAATATTAGTGGCATTGGCAGCAAAATTGGGTTGGAAGATCTATCATTTTGATGTGAAGTCAACCTTTTTAAATGGTTTGCTTGAAGAAGACATCTATGTTGATCAACCTGAAGGTTTTCAAGTTAAGGGAAGTGAAAATAAAGTCTACAAACTCCATAAAGCTCTTTATGGCTTGAAACAAGCACCAAGGGCTTGGTATACCAGAATTGATAATTACCTTTTGCAAAAAGGCTTTGATAGAAGTGAAAATGAAGCCACTTTGTACGTAAAAAGGTCCAAGAATGAAATGCAGCTCATCATATCATTATATGTTGATGATATGCTGGTCATAGGGAGTGATTCTACAATTCAAGCATGATATGGAGAATGAATTTCAAATGTCAAATTTGGGACAAATGAATTATTTTCTTGGAATGGAGATATACCAATGTGATGCAGGAATCTTCATTTCCCAAAGAAAATATGTCTTGGAGATATTGAAAAAGTTTCATATGGAGAAATGTAAACCAGTGGACACTCCCCTTGTTGTAAATGAGAAGCTATCACTTAATGATGCTAATGCTAAAGTTGATGCTTCTTTATACAGAAGCTTAATTGGAAGTTTGTTGTATCTCTCAGCCACCAGACCTGACATAACGTTTGCTGCTAGTTTGTTGTCCAAGTTTATGCATTCCCCTAGTCAAGTTCATTATGGTGCAGCAAAATGAGTTTTGAGGTTTTAAGGGGTACAACTGATTATGGTTTGTGGTTTCTACAGAATAAGAGTGGAGAGCTTCAAGGATATGCTGATAGTGACTGGGCAGGTAGTATAGATGATTCCAAGAGCACCTCAGGCTATGTTTTTTCATTCGGGAGCGGTGTCTTAACATTGAATTCAAAGAAACAAGAAGTAGTGGCCCAATCCTCTGCTGAAGCTGAGTATATTTCAGCTACAGCAGCTGCAAATCATGTTATTTGGCTTAGAAAAATTTTGTATAATGTGAAGCAACATCAAAATGAAGCTACTATCATATGGGTCGATAATAAATCAGTCATTGCAATTGCAAAAAATCCTATCCTATATGGTAGAACCAAACACATCAAAGTGAAATATCATGCCATCAGAGGAGTAGAGAAATCAAAGGAAGTCAGCTTGGAGCATTGCAGCTCTGAGAATCAAATTGCAAACATCATGACCAAAGCTCTCTCCAAGAGCAAGTTTGAAATGAGAATCAAATTGCAAACATCATGACCAAAGCTCTCTCCAAGAGCAAGTTTGAAATGTTGAGATCTAAGCTTGGAGTATCCAAGAAAAATCTCAAGGAGGAGTGTTAGAAGTTGAGATTTTTCTACATACTTTAAGAAAATATTAAATATTTATGTCTATTTCATTTTCTATCTTAGTTGCTACTGATGTGGTTAGGTGTAGATAAGTGTTAATCCTTATTTTAAGGGATTTTTTTGTTGCTTGGTCAAATGTTTAGGTAAATAGGAGTGTTTGTCCTTTTTTTGTGGAGATTTACTACAGCCTATGTACTACATATTAGAAACCTCCTTGACCTATATTGGAGTAATGCAATTTTACGTTAATAGAGTGAAAGAGTAATGAAATAGTGTGACCACTTTTCTTCCTCTTTCTTTGAAGCACCAAAACAGACACTTTACTTCTCTGTTCCAGTTTCTGTTATAATTTTCTGTTCTAGTTTTTAACAGTATTCCATGTTCAATCTTGACTCCATTAACAATACTCATTAATCAATCTCGTTATCTTGCATTGTTTTGTGTTCTATCATCCATGCATGAATTACCTGTTTTGAGCTGAATGCTCCTGGCTAAACCATTAATGTCTATTATTAGAAATACTTCAGTTTTTTCAATCATCTTAGCCACTGTTTGTTAAGGTTGTGCAATTGCTTTGTGTGCATGTAAACCCTGATTAAAAGTTTTCAATCAACTTAGCTGACTTTGGCTATTCAAATGAAATGTTTGAAAAGGATACGGTAGTTGGAATATGCAATTTATTCTTTGGTTTGTTATAATCAGGTTCTTGTTCCTGTAAGCATATAAATTATTGAAATAACAAAGATACAGTTAGATAAATAGGCTATGTGCTTAACTTTGGTCCTGTGATACAGGAACTGTGGCAAGGAAGAGTTGAAAATTACTGGAATCTGTTGGGTCCAAAAATATAAACTAGTTAGATAAATAGGCTATGGTACAAGGACAAATATGACTATATATACCCGTCTCATATCCATCCTTATACTCATTTTAAATTTCTAAAAACTTAATTTATTTTTAAAAAAATTAACTTGATATTCATGTAATTTTTATTTTATTTTAAATTTGTTAAATAAAATTCAATCATGTAATCTTATAATTATTATTGTATGTTAAAATTTTATTTTTTTTAATCTTTTTACAAAAAAAAATTATTTTATTATTTTTTTGAACAAATACAAATATAACCGATACTTAACTAAGACAGAGATGAGAGCTCAGATCCCATATCCACCAGATATTGCTATGCCTAGTGATGACAACAACTAAAGATGATATATTTTTCAAAGGTAAATGATCACTTGAGATTTAACAAACCTTTTGCTTTTTTCGTGACATACTAAACTTTGATTTAATGGAAAAGAATATAAGAGAAAAATATCGATTTTATTACTATTTATCTAAGAAATATGGAAGAACGCCTGTTGAAACCTACATTAAAAGTTGGGGAATGAATTCCATCGAAGATGTTAAACTATTTCCCTATGAACACTTCAAAATATTACACAGATAAACACTTCAAAAAAATTTTAAAAAAAAATCCTTTTGGACGTAATTTATAGAGAACTTAAATGAAAAAAAATAATTTTACTAGTAGAAAAAGGCAAATTCATTATTTCCTTCTCTGCAAATACTTTTAGTAAATTTATCCTTGTAAAATTTATTTCGATAGAAACCACACTGAAAAGCAGTCAAGCCTGTGAACAAAAGAGATGAAAAACACCAAAACTATAAACATATAATGATACGGTTTGCAACATTCTATTATTTTGTTGTATATGGTAGAACTAATAGGAACCGCCTCCTTTTAACTCCATGGTCCGTTTTGTTTTATTTTTAAGTGCACCAAACACAATGAAAGCTACATGATATAATCTATTCTAATTTGTCTACCAAAGGCTACGTAGATGGTGTGCCTAACAGAATTCGGAACAGCAGAACACATTATCAAGAGCCGTGTCATTTAGTTGGCGTCATGTGCAGAGAAAGGGCCACGATCAAATGTTTAAGCAACATGAAGCACATAAACTACTAAACTGCTGCATATCATTTTAAGATATTGTATCCCCATATACCTATTTTCGGTCGTATAGGCTTTAAAAACTAAGTGCCATATTCGCATATCACAAACATGGAAGAACAATTCACAAAAAAGAGCCACTACTAAATTGCTGCAAAATCTTACTAATGATAATATTAACTCCTGAACTGAAAAAGGAAACCAATCCATGTTAAGTCTATAAAAATAGCTACTGAAAATCACAGATCAAAATTAGTACTTGTGGATTACGAACTACCAAAATTAAGTGAGACCTCACATTTTAACTTGTATATGCTCCCATATAAAATATAGAAAAATGACAACCTCAAACTTGTAAAAACAAGTAAATCTAGGACATTCTTTGGGCTGCTTCCTTGGCAAGGAGCTTCTCTTTTGCCCGGGTCTTGGCTTGGGATTTGGAACCCATGATCCCACCACCCCACTTCTTTCTGTATTCATCATACTTGTCATTGAAGTTGGCCTGAAAAGAAAAATAAGTAAAACACCCATAAACCAATTAGAGTCTGTTAATTTCATCGATTAAAAGAATCCTGGACAAACAAAATAATAAGATAAATCACCTTAATCGCTTCAAGGATTCTACTGAACTCCAGTTTGTCTTCATTCTTGACAGTTGTCAAACACAAAACTGAAGCAGTTTTCTTGTGGACAACCTGTCAAAAGGGCACATGAATTAACTGAATAAGTCATATATCATAGATTCATTCACATGAACTTTCTAAAAGCACATATGCAGCAAAGTTCCAAAAACCAAAAACATCATGTTCTGTTTTGTAAGGATTGCCTCAGTCAATAAATATATTTACCGTTCCTAGGCGTGCTTTCCCCTTGACAATGCAGTATGGAATTTCCATCTTCCTGCACAATGCTGGAAGCCAGACCACAAGCTCAATTGGATCCACATCATGAGCAATCACAACTAGTTGTGCTTTATTCTGCCAAAAATAAATAAAAGAAACTGTTAGTGAAATATGACTGGAGAATATTTATGAATATTCTTCCACACAAGGCAAAATTGTTATTTTAGGACTGATGAAAAGAGATGCAGTAGAACATTACAAAATGGAATGATATTTAAAATAAGATGGATTGGAATGTAAAAAAAAAAATGAAATGCATTTCCATTCATTCCCTCCAATACCCTCTTCATCTTCTCCTACCCCACCCCTAAAGGACAAGGCTGGGGTCAAAACAACTTTTTTTTGCATTCCTCAATACAAATACCTAAGCATTGGAACGATAGCTTATGTTCCACTCAATTACACCCAAACATAGGAAATTGACCAACTAGGCTAGGTACTGTACTCAATTAAAAACCAAATTCTCATGAATGCATTCCATTCCACTCACAAATCTAAAGACTAATTTATATAATCATAAACTTCCAAACAACAACACAATTCACAAATTTAAACCACCATCAACATTTTCAAAAGGATAAAATAAAACATACATGCGGTATCATAGCTACTAATGTGTTGTTCTATCATCAAAATTGAAGTTTCATCTTGATAATATCACAATAAAAGAATAGTTAAAGAGTATTTGACTAGAAGCTAAAAATGCTTCGTGTCTCTACCAAAGAAAGTTTTTTATTTTTAATAGAGAAATTCTCAAAAACCATTCTAAGCTTGTATCATCAAGACAAAACTTCAATTCTAATCAGAGAAAAACTATGATATTGTATCCAATTTTCAAAACACAGTCCACAAGCACAATTACAGCTGCAACAACATCAAGGTTAGCAATTTTCAGCTTCGTATCCAACCACAATTAAAAACCCTAGCTCAGCACTGCTATCAATAACAAGCACAAATGAAAAAGACCTGCTCAATAAGGTAGGTAACATGGTTGAGACCGTATTTGACAACAATGGGCTTCCTGGCCTCGACGGGCTTCCCATCAGCCTCAGCCTGGGCCCTCTTCAACAAGCGCTCCTTCTTCTCCGCTTTATCTTCGGGCCTGTACTTGAGCAGCATCTTGAACAGGTTCGTCGCTGCAGCCACAAAACCCCAAGTTAAAGTTAAACACACCGT